TGAAATATCTATGAATACCTATGTGGATAGAACAATCAAATACTTAGCAGGTGTTGGAAATATAGATTATGTACATGTATATAAATTCAATTTATATTTTCCAGGATAATGAAGAAGATGATTTTCCAGCTAAATTAGAGACAAATGAAAACAGCCCAAACAAACTGATGATATTCAGAGGAGAGGACAATTGATGTGGAGAGTGTTTGCTTGTGTTTAAAATTCAGTTACTTGAAATTAACTTTGTTTACGACATAGAACATTGTTTATTGTTTATGTTTTCAAAACTCTCACAAGTTGACATGTACTAAAAAATACCGTAAGGACTTTGTAAAACAGAGTTTATGTTAATGTATTCTGATCATAATTGTTAAAGTCTTTTAGATATTTTTTCTTTATAACTATTTATAAGGCTTGGAGTTAGAAAAAATAAGAAATTTTGAATAACATTAATCATTTTGTTATTGTGAATAACTGAAGAATAATTAAAAAATCTCAATATGATTTCTTCGTTTTATGACTAAGATCAGTTATTTTATCAAGTGTTCAAATGTTAACATAAGTGTTCATCAGTGTTCTAAATTTTAACATACCTAACTTTGAACATGTTCTATGCGTTCAATATCTGTTGCATCGGAATTGAACGCGTCTGGCATTTAAAACTAGAACACCTGAATGTTCATAACATGTTCTATAATGGTATGGTTTGGTGTTAGGATTTTAACGTCAACGTTAAAATTTGAACACTAGATGTTCATAAGGCGTTGATATATGAACAGTTGGAGACAAAAATTGAACACTAGTATTAAGAAATGGAACGCGTCTTGGCGTTCAATATCTGTTGCAAATACGCGTTCAAGATGTGTTCTATTCTTTAACATTTACATTTGCAGTGTATACATGTATATATCATAGTATCTGTAATAATAAAACATTTTTTTATGCGTTTTATTGTAATGGCATTATGTATGTTACCTTTCTTATAAATTAGGGGGGAAAAAAAGAAAGAAAAAAACAACAACAAATTACGAAAATTTCCTGTATATATACATGTATATAAATGAGTATGCTATAGATATCACACTGAGAAATGAAAATTTGCAATATTTTCACAAATGCGAAGGACAATTTTCAGTGTGATATATAGCATTTTAGCCCAAAAAGAGATCAGTTTTCTTGTTGTGTGCCGTATAAGTAAATGTCAGACAGCCATAAACGACTGTTTTCATCATAGCACAAGAAACAGAGATGATACAAGAAGTTCGACTGCTACGCGAACATTGAGCAGACAAAAGTAATTTAAGATAATAATCATCGATACGTAGTAACTGATAATATTTTTAGATTTTAGTTAGTAACGATATTTCAATTGAGAAAAAAAATAAATGAAAGAAACGCATTATTTTCAGTAAATCTATAACACGGTGCGAAATATCACTGTTGCAGGCTCCATCCACTATAGATCGAATCTGTGCTGTAAGATATACCGACAGAGCTTCTTCCCAATGTAAACAAGTCTCTGCATTCCTTCAAGCAATGCCAGTGCTGAACGTTCCTTTATCAGCTTGAAAAGGCTAAAGACTTTCTAGCGCTCAACGATGAGCACTGGTCACCTCTCTGACTTAGGACTTTTGCAGATCCATAGAGACAGGGTGATCTAGGCTGACGTTGTTGTACATAAATATGTGTTTGTCACTTTTTTGTCACTTTTATTTGCTGCTTAGTAAAAGCGTACACGTCTGTTTATTCAATGTATATCCTTATATAACGTTTATCAAGTACCTTGGAATATTATTATACGATCTATCAATTATATCTAAGACGTTCTCTAAATCACTTCACATATTAACACAAGTCATATCATTACATAAAAAGTTATTAATGATAATATTAAATTCCTTCTGACTTCAATTTGTAATTTTATGGACATCAAATGGACATGAACATGCATAATTTTAACATCTCTAAATGGTGAAAATCAATGAGCTTCCGGGGGCTTCGCCCCCCTGGACCCCTACCAGGGCTCTGCCCTGGACCTGCAAGGGGGCCTAAAGCGGCCTCCTTAACCCCCTGCCTGAGAGTGTGTAATATCGATTTCAGCCTAGCTACGCCCCTGTAAAGGTATTTGTGTTCGGATTTATTTTCTTAGTTATAACATTTTCTATCATTCTAGATAGTTTTCAAAGCCAAATTCAACAAAAATTTGTTTTGTTTTATCAGATTTTTCAAACAAAATGGCGAAAGAAGTCCCTTAAAATAAATATGAGCTGCGTCACGTCAAAACCAACATAATGGGTTTGCGACCAGCATGGATCCAGACCAGCCTGCGAATCCGCGCAGTCTGATCAGGATCCATGCTGTTCGCTTACCAACCCTATTACAAGTAGAGAAACTGATAGTGAACAGCATGGATCCTGATCAGACTGACATTATTTTGAAATTTTGACAGATTTTATGTGTTACATGATAAATAGAAAAACATGCTACTGTCTTTTGATATCAATTTTATCAGGCTCGGCTGATATGGGCAGAAAGGGCTCGGCAAGCTTCGCCATTTCTAGCCCATATCAGCCTCGCCTGATAAAATTGATATCAAAAGACAGTAATTTCGGTACCCCATTTGAGGCCTCATAAGTAAGGGTTATTCTATGTTTAGAACATGATGGAATTTCCATGATTTGTGTGACGAGCCGAATATTGATGTGTAAAATTCAAATTTTGGTGAGTGAGCGTAATAAAAAATAATGTTTTAAGTAACTATGATTTTTTGTACGGGAACTGCTCGCATGCCAGTACTTAGCATGTTATTCTCTATATATTGACTACTACAAAACAACAACTAATAATAATAATAATAATACTATTATTTCATGCTTTCTAGTGTTTTATTGTAATATATCAAATGATTATATTCTGATAAACCACTAGTGAAATTTATAAAATATAAATTTTCACTGTAGCCCGAACTATATCTGAATGCGGATGAAAAAGAAAATCATAACTAAATGGAATAACAGGCAGAAACAAATGCCGTCATGCGTAAATTTTGCTTCTTTAGGAAAAGAAAGTCGACGTCACCATACATCATGTTAAAAATGTAACAAAATAAGAGAAATTTAACAGAACTATATTTCAAAATTGATGATGTGACGTCATGATGTGATGACGTCACAAAGGAGAATGCGCGACATTACGCGGCAAAATCAGTAAAAAAAATACTAAAAATCACTTAAAAAGCATGAAATAAAAAGAAAATTTATTTGTTTTTCATATAAGATTGAAATATATTTCATTCGTGAACACCAGCTATTATATTTTCACTCGTGGCTACGCCACTCGTGAAAATATTGCATCTGGTGTTCACTCAGTGAAATTATATTTCAATCTTACATGCAAAACAAACAAATATCCTCTATATAATAATAATTATAATAATAATAATAATAATAATGATAATAGAAATAATAGTAACGCCTATGTTTATATACCAGCCTTTCATGGGAGTACGTTATGCTTTTGCGAAATTGTCAAAAAGATTCAAAATCGAGGGTCGAACTTATAGAACTATATTTAAGAATTTAACGCTGTACGCATATTTTTATGGTGGCTGATATGATACACTTTACGCGTTGCGTTGTCGATAGCAACAACACAACCTATATTGTTGAACATTGCCTTTTCGTCTTGTCTTGTCGCTGGCAAAACGCACCGAATGGCGTGTTGTCGCACTGTCGTCTTGTCGTTCTGCCACTAGCGAAGCACGTCAAACGGAGCGTTGTCGTGCGGCGCGTTAAAGCAATGTCGTTATATATATAGAGAATAACATGCTACTGTCTTTTGATATCAATTTTATCAGGCGAGGCTGATATGGGCTAGAAAGGGCGAGGCTTGCCGAACCCTTTCTGCCCATATCAGCCGAGCCTGATAAAATTGATATCAAAAGACAGTAGCATGTTTTTCTATTTATCATGTAACACTTAAAAACTGTCAAAATAACAAAATAGTCTACTTTTAAACAGCGAATTTCGTAAAAAAGGGGATTTTTGTTCAAAGAAATAATTCTTGACATCAAATTCCTCCGCCCCTGAAACTTTAAATTTGTAAACGGCGGCCATTTTTACTTTCGACTCGGATAAAAGATACAACAGAATGTAGGCCTATCACGATAAAATTCTTACCTTTAATTTAAACATCGATCAAAAAAATCCCTTAGAATCACATAAACTTTACTGCACTTTAATTTTGTCTTGAATTGTCAAATTCAAAAGTTCACGATAATTTCAATCAAACAAAAGTCAAATCGGCAATCAAACACAAGCTACACAAACATGCGTCTTATTTTTTAAACGAAACAATTTGTTCACTTATTAAATAATAATCCGGCAAAATAAAGTAAACATTTACAAGTTCTCAAAGAAAATCATCAACCCTGTTTGTTATGTTTACATGTACTGTATAGTATGACGTAAACATTGATGATGTCATTTGCAATGTAAATTATGACGTCACCCATTTAGTTGGCTGTCTAATTTATTCGTAATTGAAATCGAAATAATCAATAAATAAATATCGCATCTTGATTCAAGACTTGTAAGGGTATGAGATTACATTGTAGAATTCACAAGCTGATGAAAATGAGAATTATAAGCAATTGAAAAAAAATTCCGTTAAAATGGGCGGGGCTTATTTTTGATATCAGGTTACTGACCTGATATCAAAAATAATTATCAGGCAAGTGTTATCGGGCAGTTACCATAGCAGTTGCATGATAAATACAAATAGCCAATTTTTCGATTCAAGGCAAGTGACAATGTGACGTTTGGCGTACATCGTTAGCGACAGGACAACAAGACGAAATCCGCAAAGCGCCGTTGGCGCTTTACCGTGCTGTCGCTAGCACGACGCACTAAAGTGTTTTAAATACGCCACCATATATTTTGAATAATTGTTGAACTATACATAAATACATGTATGTTTTTTCTTCTATTTTAACTATGAAGATAGTGAAGTGGAGAACCAGATTAACGAGATTACGTCATATCTGGATGCAAGTAAGGTTTATGGCTCAAGCCAAGAGGAAGAGCATACCCTCCGGACATTTATTGGTGGTATTTATGCCAAGTCCAACATTTTTAGCATTTGTCCAGTTTTTATCAGATTTATTTAAGCTTAGATTTGAAACAATTCCTAATAAATTATATTTATTATTTTTGAACCAGTTTGTCGGAACTAACGACAATCTGTGATATAAGACAGAACTTGGCACCACGACAGCTACATAATAGTAAAATGTTTATATAATTTTTTTGTACTTTTAAATCTAATGAGTATATGTCTATATTCGAATACTAGTATAGCCCTGGCATACGCCGTTAACACCCTTTAAAACTTTAGTAAGCATCATCAAGCATCGTAGTATACTTAACGATTGGGCAATATATATAATTATAGCACAATATATGTTTTTTTTAAAGGACTTTTAGAGCAGAGTACCAATGAATTACTCCCAAACTCGTCACGTGATTCCGAACTGCCGTGTAATACTACCACAAATGACCACCGCAAAGACAGCTGCTTCGAAGCAGGTAAATGACATTAATTATTACAAAAAAAA